AAAATTTTGCGGTTAAATTTGGCTTTTGAAATTGTTTAAATTTAACCTAAATCGATTTAATATATAAATAAAAAAAAATAAAGGAAATAAAATAAAAAAAAAAAATATACTTTGCCTCGTACCCCCATAAAGAATTACATTGTATATAATAATTCAAAACAAATTAAAAATAAATATTTTTATAAACTAAAAAATATAAAATAAACAAAAATAAATTTTAAATTATAAAATTAAGATAAAATAACAATCAGAATAAAAAAAAAAAATTTAAATTAAAAAATAAAAATTTACTTTTAGAAAAAAATATATTATAAAAATACAAATTTTTAAATTAATTTTAATAATTAAAAAAAAAAAAAAAACATAAAAAAAAATTTAAATTTTATTATTATAATAGATTAACCTGAAAGAACAAATTTTTATAAAAAAATACTCAACCTTTTTAAAAAAAATACAAAAACAAAAAAAAAACAAAAAAAAACGAAATAAAAGTTAACCTAAAACCGTAGGAGGGGTTTAGTCAACTACCCCAGTTTGAAGAAAGGATACTTTACTTACCCTATTAAAAAAAAAAAAAATAAAAAAAAAGAGGAGGTTAATTTTAGGTCTCGTTGAACATAACATAATGTAGGGCGGGGTTGCCCCACAAAAAGACAAAAAAGTTAAAGGTTGTATTTTAAAAAAAATATATTTAAACACCCGCCGGTTACGGGTTGGTTTTTTGGAATAACTATACAATAGGGTTTTTTTTTTTTGAGCCGAAAGTAAAACGAAAGAAACAATCCCAACCCCCCCCTCTTATAGGGGCAGAGGGGGCCCCGCCGGGAGTAGGGGGGGGGGGGGTTTTTAACCAATCATGGAGGGGAAAATATATTTTTGGGGGGGGGGTAAAGCGGGGTTACCCACCCCCCTCCCTTCAATCCAACTATTTTGGTAACAGAAGGAACCCGGGGTAAAGGGCAATAGAGGAAAAAAATAAAAAGAAAATACCCTGGCGGGGCGGGTATGTCGGGAGACAGGGGGGGGGCCCTAAAAGAACCCGCGTTGGGAGGGGAAAAAAGCCCGGGTCCACACAACCACGCCCAAACCAAGCAGAGAAGAAAAAAAAACGACAAAACAAACCTAACCACCTGGGGGGGGGCAAGAGGCCGGGGCGGGGGGGGGGGGTGGGGGGGGGGGGGGGGGGGCGGCCCCCAACCCCCAAAACAAACAACTTAAAACACACCGCTTCAACCCCCGACGGCCGGGTGGGGGGGGGCCCCCCCCCCCCCCCCTACGGGGGGTGCACAAACACCCCCGGGGCGGGAAAGATTCTGGCTAGGCGGGGGCGGGCCATCCCCCACTCCCCCCCACCCCCCCCCCCCGCGGTCCCCCCGGGACCCCCCCGCCCCCGGGGGACCCCCCCCCTCCCCCCGGGGAGAACCGGGGGGTGGGCGCCGAGGCCAAGAGGGGGGTCCAGGGGGCCCGGGGCCCCCAGCCTCCCAGCGTTGGCGCCCCCCAAAACACCCCGCCCCCGTTCAGCGGGGGGGCAGGCGGGGCCCGGAGAGGCCCATAACGCCCCCCAGGGAGGGGGGGGGGGGTCGGCATCCAGGTTTACCATGGGGCCAAGGGAAAAACCCAAGACTAAAGAGGGTTGGCCCCCGGGGGGGGGGTGGGCCGGGTTGGTAGGCGGCAACCCCCCCCCCTCAAACTTTATTAACAACAAAAACCAAGTGTTGTTGGGGGGGGGGGGGGCGGGGCTGGGGGCGGGCACCGCCGCCCAAAAACCGCACCTGAAACGGTACACCACGGTTAGCGGGGGTGGGCCGGGGTACAACCCCCACCGCCCCACCCTTACACGGGCCCGGTTGTGGAAGGGGGTTGGGGGGGGGGGCTGCCGGGAATGCGGGGGCGCCCCCGGGGGCCCTTATCCTCGGGGCCGTTTTCCGGCCCCCAAAACACCACGCCGTTTCAAAGGGGCGGCGGCCCCCCGCCGGCGGGCCCTTAATCCCGGGTTGGGGGGGGGGGGCGTTCCCGGGCCTACCCCCCTCCCCCGGGGGCGTTTAAAACCCCCCCCTAGGCCCCTCCCCAACCCGCCCCAACCCGGGCCCCCTAACAGAGGAGAGGCCCACATAACCAGACCCCCCCTCCCAGTTATAAAAAAACACCCCCCCCCCCCCCCCCCAAGCGTACAAACAGGAGGGGGGCGCCCCCCCCCACCGGGGGCCCCCCACCTTCCCCCACCCCACCGGCCCTGGCCCCCCCCCCACCACGTGGCTGACCCCCCCCTAAAAGCTACCCCAAAAAAAGAAATAACCCAACCCCCCCCCCCCCGACCCCTACCCGCACCTAAAGGAACCCTACCCCCGCCAGCCCGCCCCCTTTTGAAGGGGGACGTGGGGGGGGGGCCCCCCAAAGGACCTTAAACACCCACAAATTCCCAAAAAAACACCCATAACACAACATCCTTTCGGCTCCCCCCAAAAACCCCCTCCTCTCAACGCCTTTTTAAAGAAAAACACAACCCCCCTTTCTTTAAACCTTGGCGGGGCGGCGGGAAAAAATATAAAATACTAAAAATAACCCCCCATATAAACCCCTCTATTTTAAATTCACGGTAACCCCACAACTAAGTCCCCCCCGCTTACCCCCCTTTTTACAACAATCCGACAGATCCCCCCCCAACCCGTTTGTTTGCCCCCCCCGGTTTTAAAACCCCGGGGGGGGGGCCAAAACCAAGCGGGGGGGGGGGTTTGTCTTTTGGGGGCCGCGGGGGGGCGGCAAGGACCGGGAAGGCCGGGGGAGTGGGGGGATGAAACCTCAAACTACACAAAGGCCAACGCACATTACACACCATTCGTGGTCGTTCCCACCCAGGGTGAGGGCGAACAACTGGGGGGCAATTAGGGCGGGGGGGGGGGGAGAGGGGGCCAAAAAAAAACCATCTTTGGGGAACCAGAAATAAAGATATCAATTAAAAAAAAAAGTTTACATAATATTAACGAAATATGTTTTGAGGGAAGATTTTAAAAAAGAGTATTTTAATAACAAAAAATAGAGTGTTTTTTAAAAGAAGCATTGTTTGGGGGGATAAACATCATAATAGAGAAAAAAAAAGTATATATAGGATAAAATTTTTTTTTCCCTAATATTAAGCCCTAAAAAATGATGGTAAATAAATAAAAAAAAATTTTTTTAATAAAAAATTTTATATCTTTTAAAAAAAAAAAAATAAATAAGAATAAACTAATAAAAAAAATAATTTAGTAATAGATAATGTTTTTGATTTAAATGTAGGGTTGTTTTTTCAAACAAAAAACCGGGGCCATATTAAAAAAAAACAATAAAAATAAAATTTTAAATATCAACATCTTTTAACCCATAAAAAAATAAATATTGAAAAAAAAAAAAAAATATTTATTATTACACAACCAACACAATTATAATTTTCTTCCTCATTTAAAGGGTGGGGAGAAATTTGGTAAAATTATTAAAAGAGCTAAAAAAAACAAAAAGTTAACCAAATTTTCTTCTGAATCTTTTTTAGAGAAAAAAAACAGTTGGCTTTTAAAAAATTCAAACATTTTTTAAAAAAACCTACCACATACCTTTTTAAAACGCCACGTACGTGGTAAAAATAAGAAACTGGGGGACGAACACCAAAAAAGTTTATAGAGGTAAGAAGAAGATTAGAAGGGGGGCCGGAAACTCCTCTCCTAATCAAATTCACCAAACAACAAAATAAAATACTCACAAACATATTAAAAACCACGACTCAAATTTAAATATAAAAAAATTAATTGGTGTAAAGAAAAGGTAAATTCCTAAATAGAGAGGGGGAAGGACCGGTATAGTTAAGAATAGGGGGGAAAAAAAAAAAAATTCCATTTAAGGAAATACACTAAAGGAACATTTATAAGTAAAAAAAAAAAACCCCAAATAACATAAAAAATTACAAAAAACAATTAAAATAAAAATATTAATTTTTGTAAAAAAAGTTAAAAAAAAAATTATTTAAAAATGAAAAATTAACTAAAAAAAGTTTTAATAAAAAAAATTTTAATGAAAATAAACAATTACCATTTGGGGGGGGGAGAAAAAAAAAGTAGAAATTAAATAATTATTATAAAAAAAAAAAAATTTTAAAACATCCAAAATAATAAGAAAAATAATAAAAAAAAAAAAATTTAGAAACGAAAAAAAAAACCATACAATATAATAATAAACAAAAAAATTTTATTTTTACCACATAATTAATATTTTTTGGCCTCTAACAAAAAAGTAAATAGTTTAACTAATTATTATTTAATTATTAAATTAAATATTTATTAATTACAAAATTTATTTTTTAATAAAAACAAAAAATTAATTTTTAAAAAAAAAGAATAACACACAAATTCAAAAAAAAAAACAAAACTTTTTTTAAAAAAAATTTATACATAAAAAAAAATTTAAAGATTTTTTAAAAAAACTTTAGATAAAATTCAATTATATAAAATTCAATTTTTATCTAAACCTACAAACCTCAAAACTCAATTTTATTCTTTAAATCAAAAAATCATGTATTACAGAAACCAAGTTTAAATTTTTTTTTTAAAAATTCTTAATTTATTTTCAAAAAAATTTTTAGTTACAAACATCCAAACAAATAAGTATTTAATTTAACTTTAAAATTTAATAAAGGGAATTTAAACTTTGACTGAAAGCACAATACACTACAAAAACAAAATTTTATTCGTCCCTAGACCCCCCAATTTTATGAATAGAAAGGAACTTACTTAAAACTGGGATTCAAAACTCTGACCAAATAGAATGAATCCATTTGAATCATGAAATCAAACCACCTGACTACTGATCAACGTACTACACACAAATCAAACATTTTCCCAACTAAGAGAAAAAAACCAAGAAATTCTTGTGAAGCACTAAAATCAGTTAATTTACAGTTTTGTAGTTTAATAAACTGCTTTTACCTTCTTTCTCCAACAAAAAGTAAGCAAAATTCATATGAAATAAGCAAATGTTTATGAAACTGCTTTTATTTATTTTTTAACATAGTAGATGGCAGTGATACATCATTACAGTGATCTAAATAAAGTTATAAAGTTCACATCTCACTAACAAGGCGACATTGGTGTCAAACAGCTGCTGACTTTCTGACATTGTACTTTGTCTGCTAACTACATGACTTACATCATTCACTGCAATCTTTTTAAACAGATTCAGAAAAAGGGAAGCAGATTTGTTGCACCAACCCTGGCTGTGCTCCAGATCTACAAATACGACAGCAGGTCGTCCTGAAGTTTTTCCTCTTATCTCAGGATTCAATTGTTCAAATGTCACTTAATTTGATCGAGTATTGTAACACCAGATTAAGTGGATTTGACTTCATTTCACTTTTATTTTAATTTAATATTTAACATTACTTGGCCAACATTGTTCCACAATTACCAACACTCCCAAATTCCCAGCCAGCCTGGGTCAGTGTGTCTTTGGTTTTGATGGTTGGTGGTATTTGGATCTCAGTATTCCTGCTTTCAAGTCTAGTTTTCTAATGAAACTATATTTGTGAGGTTTTTTAAGATTTACGTCTTCAGTAGGAACAAACAGGGTTGGAGCTGAGAGCCACAGACAGGAAGTCAGAAAGTATTGAGAGACAGGGTAACATGTTGTTGTTTTTGGTCTTTTCATCTTCAGAGTAATACAGATATAATGTTATATAATAATTTCAGACATGAGTATAAAAATGTAAAATCCTCGACTGAGCTGATGGTTGTCAGTCAGCTGTGAAATCCATGTGAGAGGAGCTCCTTGGAGGTCCTACTCTGCTCCCTGAGCACCTTCCTCTTCAGTCGGCCCTCCTCCAGCTGCAGGAACACCCAGGTTATCATCCAGCTCAATGCCCGGCTTCTGCCCCCTGCAGGCCTGGAGAGACATAACAGCATTTTTTTTTTTCCCTTTGTGTTCAATGCTAGTGAGTCCTTAATGGTGAATTCCCACCAAACACAAATACAATTATTCCCATGAGTAGACTGCATACAGTGTCAATGCAAAGACGCAAATAGAAGTGAATTTACACCGGGTGACGTGAATGGGGAAAAATTCTAATTTAAATTGAAAATATTCAACTTTGAAGAGACAGAGCTACTGCTTTACACTTGTCTGAGAAACAGTTTCATCTCCATTATAAGACACTTTCAATATCGGTTGTCATGGCAATGTGAAGATCTGATCTAGTGAACCAGTAGACCCAGAATAATGATTGCTGGTGTAGACTGTTCAACTTAGTTTGTATTAGGGTTAAGTTTAAAATTGAGGATTCAAACGATTTTACATTGATAGAGTCTCACAGGAATCTCAGTCTCTCTGTGTGTGTGTGTGTGTGTGTGTGTGTGTGTGTGTGTGTGTGTGTCAGCACAAGTACATTACTGTCATATTACACTAAACAAAATTATAAAAGCATCACTTGTTTTCATCATGAGCTGAACTCAAAGATCTGAGACTTTCTCTATGAATGCAAAAGGCCTATTTTTCTCAAATATTGTTCACAAATCTGTTAAAATCTGTGTTTGTGAGTATAATATATAATCATCCATCCACCTCACAGGTGGGGCATATCAAGATGCTGATCAGACAGCATGGGTATTGCACAGGTGTGCCATATGCTGGCCACAATAAAAGGCCACGTGAAAATGTGCAGTTTCACCGTATTGGGAGGGTCTGGGGGGCGTCCGCAAACCAGTCAGTATCTGGTGTGACCACCATTTGCCTCACGCAGTGCAACACATCTCCTTCGCATAGAGTTGATCAGGTTGTTGATTGTGGACTGTGCGATGTTGGTCCACTCCTCTTCAATGGTTGTGCGAAGTTGCTGGATATTGGCAGGACCAGAGCATCCCAAACATGCTCAATGGGTGACATGTCCGGTGAGTATGCTGGCCATGCAAAAACTGGGATGTTTTCAGCTTCCAGGAATTGTGTACAGATCCTTGCAACATGGGGCCGTGCATTATCATGCTGCAACATGAGGTGATGGTCGTGGATGAATGGCGCAACAATGGGCCTCAGGATCTCGTCACAATATCTCTGTGCATTCAAAATGCCATCAATAAAATGCCCCAGTGTTCGTTGTCCATAACACATGCCTGTCCATACCATAACCCCACTGCCACCATGGGCCACTCAATCCACAACCTTGACATCAGCAAACCGCTCACCCACACGACGCCATACACGCTGTCTGCCATCTGCCCTGTACAGTGAAAACCGGGATTCGTCCGTGATGAGAACACCTCTCCAAAGTGCCAGACGTCATTAAATGTGAGCATTTACCCACTCAAGTCAGTTACGACAATGAACTGCAGTCAGGTTGAGACCCCATTGAGGACGACGAGTATACAGATGAGCTTCCCTGAGACCGTTCCTGACAGTTTGTGCAGAAATTCTTTGGTTATGCAAACCAATTGTTGCAGCAGCTGTCCGGGTGGCTGGTCTCAGACGATCTTGGAGGTGAAGATGCTGGATGTGGAGGTCCTGGGCTGGTGTGGTTACACTTGGTCTCTGGTTGTGAGGCCGGTTGGATGTACTGCCAAATTCTCTGAAACACCTTTGGAGACAGCTTATGGTAGAGAAATGAACATTCAATTCACGGGCAACAGCTCTGGTGGACATTCCTGCAGTCAGCATGCCTAAGGCACACCTGTGTAATATCCATGCTGTTTGATCAGCATCTTGATATGCCACACCTGTGAGGTGGATGGATTATCTCGGCAAAGGAGAAGTGCTCACTATCACAGATTTTGACAGATTTGTGAACAATTTTTGAGAGAAATAGGCCTTTTGTGTACATAGAGAAAGTCTTAGATCTTTGAGTTCAACTCATGATAAATGGGGGCAAAAATAAAAGTGTTGAGTTATAATTTTGTTTAGTGTATGTCACTCATGATGTCACTGATAGGATTACCTGAACAGGTGAGATCCAGGATGTAGGAAGAGGACCCTGATGTTATGCAGTCCCTCAGAGCAGATCCAGACTGAACACAGTAAGACCACATATCCCATACAGGTCTGTCTGATGACTCTCTCTGTTCTACAGAAACAGCAGAGCCACAGTCCAGTCCTCTGCAGACATCAGCTGCTTCCTTCAGGGTCCAGCCAGAGCCAATCGCTGGTCTCCAGTCTCCCTGATATTTCAGCTCCAGTGTTCCTGCACAGCGACTGCCTCCTCCCACCAACCTGACAGACTCTGAACATAAAAAAGAGAGTCATCAGTAAAATAATAAAGTGAGTTTCATCAGAACAGAAACGAACTAATCAGAGCTCCAGCTCCTCTTCTACCTGAGCAGGTGAGTCCAACAGCTTTTCCAGGTGAGCAGGTGTTTCTAGCTGAGCCTGAGCTTCTACAGTCCAGAAGAGCAGACTCATTGCCTCCACACTGGAACTCTTTGGTCCACATTGGAGCCTCCACTTCTCCATAGAGCGCCCCCTTGAGGACTGAAGGAGCCCCACAGCCGAGCTCCCTACAGACCACCTCTGCATCCTGCTGGTCAAAGTCAGCTTCACACACTGAGGACCACCACTGGTTAGACTGGTCAGACTTCACCTCCAGTCTGCCTGAGCACAGACTAGTCCCATCCACCAGCCTGACAGAGTCTGGAGAGATAATAGAAGATAAAACAGAGAGAGATAAAAGACAGCAGATATAAAATAAAAAGATCATTAAACAGCACCTGGTAAATGGCGAATGGGCTGTACTTTCATAGCACCTTTCTAGTCTTCTGACCACACAAGACACTGTACACAACATGCCACATTCACTCATTGATACACACTCATAAAGTAATGGCAATGGCCATCACAAATGGAAATTGATTAATTTATACTAGAGCCCGACCGATTTATCGGCGGGCCAATATTAGGCATTTTCCAAACTATCGGTATCTGCATTTATGATGACCGATAAATTAATATTTTAAAAAATAAAATAAAAATGGACAAAACACCCATCAACCATGTTATGAGTGTTGGCGTTGCATAGTTTGTCCACCCGAGGGCCCTCTACAATGTCTCTGTTGGCAACACTCGTGTAAAGCCACAAACCTTGGAACCAGCCGATCCAGCCAGAGTCGGGCAGAGCGAACGGGTTATCCACGACTGAGATCATCGGTGAAGTGTGTTCATGGTAAGTTTGCAACTGTCATGAGACATACATTGCTTGAATAACAATTAAAAGAACATCCCCATCAGTTCTCTAAACTCAATAAGCATGACAAAATTCATGACAACCATGTCCAGTTTTGCTGTTGTTAGCCGAGAGTGAAATGGATTTAGCTAGTACGTTAGTTGTTACAGTAGCTATAGTTGACTGACGGCCCGCGGGCCGGAAGAAGACAGAGTATTGAACATAGCACATTGCTTTATTAAACTTTATTCACCGACAACTGTAACTTACACTGTACATTTACTGCTACTTACTTCTCTGGTCTGCTGCCGTTCACCGCCGCTCACGCGCTCCCGCCTGCACACTACGCTCTCTCTCTCGCTCTACCACACACATGTTACACTGATCTATTCCTCTTATAACATTCATTAGTCCAAATGACTTTGTCAAAAAGGAGACTAAACTTAGCAAACTAAACAGTGATTAAACCTACTTCATGTAAAATGCTGCTTCAGACACTTTTGCTCTGTGAAAATACTTACTGTGTCTAAGTTTACATTTTCACAGATGTGAAAATGTACGTAAATTTAAAATAATTTCTAGATCTTGACAAGTTGTTTTAGTTATTATTAACTGTAAGAGAAAGTTACCCTGATATTATTGTTCAGTTCCAGGTACATGTTACTTAATGTTCTGAGGCTTTGTAGATCCACATCCACTGATCTTTAAATTGTAATGCACATGTGTAAATGAAATTAATATAATATATTGTTGAAATTACACTTATTTTCCTTAAGAAAATTCAGGTTGTTCATAATGTTTTATGAAAAGAAAGTTTATTAAATGTCATCATTTTCAGAATGTATTTCTATTTCTTTGCAATAAAACAAAGACAACAATTAGGGGTTGTTGCTATTTATAGTTAATTATGCCTTAATTTTACTGGTCCAGCCCACTTAAGGTCAAATTGGGTTGTATGTTGCCCCTGAACCAAAATGAGTTTGACACCCCTGGTATATAGTTTATATTTTGCTGTTGTTATTTATCAGAACTTCTAGAACTTAACAGAATATTTTTTTTTCCAGTCTTGTTCAAAGTTATATTTATGAAGCTTACCAAGTCTATTAATACAACTTAAATATATATCAGCCGATATATCGGAATATCGGATTTTTAAATCACCAAATATTTGTATCGGTATCTGCCTTAAAAATCCTTTATCGGTCGGGCTCTAATTTATACACGTTTTGACATTGAGTGTTGTGTCCTTGTGTTCGTGGAAACATGGCTTAACGACAGCATCCCGGACTGTGCCATTCAGCTAGCCCGGCTAACATGCTACCGGGCGGACAGAGCGCGCGACGGGGGACTCTGTGTTTACATCAATGATGCCTGGTGCCGCGACGCTGTTGTGGTCTGCCAACACTGCTCATCACTGGTGGAGTTTATGGTTATTAAATGCCGACCATTCTAACTGCCAAGGGAATTTAGTGCCATATTGCTGGTGGCAATATACATCCCCCTGGCTCCAACAACAACAGGAGCGAGGCACTGTATGAACTCCATCAGCACATCAGTGACCAGCAGACAGCCCACCCAGATGCCTTCCTCATTCTGGCTGGGGATTTCAACCACGCAAACCCCAAGAGCGTGTTTCCATAACTCCACAGACACATCAACTTTCCCACACGAGGAAACAATATCCTGGACAATGTCTACACCACACACAGAGGTGCCTACAAAGCCCGTCTCCTCCCCCACCTCGGGGCCTCAGACCACACCACAGTTATGCTAATGTCAGCATACAGGCCGCTGGTTAAAGTCACCAAACCAACTACAAAGCAGATACGCGTGTGGCCTGAGGGGTCTTCAGAGGCACTCCAGGACTGCTTCTCCACCACCGACTGGAGCATGTTCAGACAGGCAGTCACCTACAACAACACTACAGAACTCCAGGATTACACAGAGACCATCACTTCCTACATGAGGAAGTGCATGGACGATGTCACGGTCACCAGAACCATCTCCATTCGGGCCAACCAGAAGCCATGGGAAGTCCACAGGCTCCTGAGGGCTCAGAACGCCACCTTCAAAGCTGGCGACGAGATGGGCCTGAGGACAGCCAGGGCCAACCTGTCACTCAGGCATCAGAAAGGCCAAGAGGCAGTACTCCAGGAGGATCGCAGACCGCTTCAATGACAGCAGAGACACCAGGAACCTGTGGCGAGGGATGCAGACCATCACAGACTATAAGCCCTCTCCGCAGACCTGTGACAGCTCCACCTCTCTGCTGAACCAGCTGAACGACTTCTTCGCTCACTTTGAGGCAGACAACAGCACCCCAGCACAGAAGACCCCACCACCTCCCGGCAACCAGGTGTTGATGCTATCACATGATAGCGTGAGGAGATCCCTCAGAAGGACGAACCCACGAAAAGCCCAGGGTCCTGACAACATTCCGGGTCGTGTCCTGAGAGACTGTGCAGAGGAGCTCACAGATGTCTTCACTGACATCTTAAACACCTCGCTGAGACAGGCTGTTGTCCCCACGTGCCTCAAAGCCACCACCCCGGTCTCCCTCCTGCCACAATGACTACCGCCCGGTCGCACTCACTCCCATCCTCATGAAGTGCTTCGAGCGGCTAGTCATGCAGCACATCAAGTCTGTCCTCCCCCCCGCCCTGGACCCTTTCCAGTTTGCATATCGGTCTAACCACTCAACCGATGATGCCATCTCTGCTACCCTCCACTCAGCCCTCACCCACCTGGAGACAAAACACTCCTACGTCAGAATGCTGTTCATCGACTTCAGCACAACACCACACTACCTCACCTGTTTAAATACTTTACTTATTTAAATATTTTACCCCTATATTATTTCACCATGTAGATACCCAAGTGCCTTAATTCTTGATTGTTGTTTATTTTATGTCTGTTAAATTGTTGATTGTTTATTTTATGTCTTGCTGATTGTTTATTTTATGTCTGTTAAATTTTTGATCGTTTATTTTATGTCTTGTTGATTGTTCATTTATGTCTGTTAAATTGTTGATTGTTTACTTGTCTTTTCTATTTATAGAAGATTTATTTTTATTGCCTGTGTGCACCGTGGGTCCGAGAGGACTGAAATTTCATCTGTGCTGTATGTTGTGCATATAGCATATTTGACAATAAAGCTGACTTGACTTGACTTGATTGATTTACAGCATTGGGAGCAATTTGGAATTCAGTATATTGCACAAGGACACATCAACATGCAGCTGGATGAGCCAGGGATCGAACTGACAACTCCCAAATAATGAACAACCCACTCTACTTCCTTAGCCACAGCTGCCCCAATTCAGTGATTCAGACTGTACACTGACAACACACAACTCAGTCACGAAGCTGGTGACATATTTTTCAGTGAAAACATTGGGGAACTAAGCTTCCCATAGCCTCTTAATAGTGTTTTCTAGGTTACCATCATATTGACAATGTAACACTTGTTATCCATTTTTCAACCATTGTTCATTGTTGGAGCCAATCTGTGTGTTTTTTTTGGTTTTTCGTCTAAAACGTTAAATATTTTGTATTTTTGGGGGTTTTAGTATCCCATCCCACAAGAGGGCAGTAACATGTTGGTGATGGGTCACGTCACACAATCAAGTAATAAATAGACACAGGCTCGTGTTTGGACTACAGGAGATGTATCGGTTCTTACATCATACTGGCATAACATAACAAGAGACGCAAAACAAAAGGATACATTTTAAAAACTGCAAAGTACAAACACATCACTAAGGAAACTACATTCTGCAATCTATAACATCAGCGAAACAGAAGACGCACGAAATAAGTGGCACAAGATAAGTAAAGCAGTGCGTGTCAAGAACACATTTATTTCACCACTGTGGCCATCAGTACTGGGCAGTGATGGGTAAGTTACTTTAAAAAAGTAATTAGTTACAGTTACTAGTTACTTCTTCCAAAAAGTAACTAAAATACTTACTCAGTTACAAATTATAAAATTCAATTCAATTCAATTCAATTCAATTTTATTTGTATAGCGCCAATTCATAACAGAAGTTATCTCAGGACACTTTTCAAATAGAGCAGGTCTAGACCGAACTCTTTAAAACATTATTTACAGAGACCCAACAGTACCACCATGAGCAAGACCTTGGCGACAAGGGCAAGGAAAAACTGCTTGTTAAAAGGCAGAAACCTAGGACAGATCCTTCGGCTCTAGGTGGGTGGTCGTCTGCCTCGACCAGTTGGGGTGAAAGAGAGAGAGAGAGAGAGAGACAGACAGACAGGTGCACAGCAACAACAGTATTGGCAATGGCAATCTAGCAGGACCATGGCAGGAGGCTCCACCAGGATCGATAAGAACCTGCGAGACAAGAAAGCACAAGAACTCCGGGGAAGAAGTGAAGTTAGTAACATGCATTAAAAAAAAAATTTAAAAAATAGAACAGTGTAACAATATGAGGTGCTTTCAATCTAACATAATAATAATAGCATAATGTGCATTTCACGATTACATTCGTTCCTTTAATTCTTGGAGGGAAAAGTAATGGCTATACTTCCATTTAAAGAAGGCTACTTTTGGATTATTTGGGCTCACCATACCTGTGTCTTGTTGGCTGACTCGCTTGTGTTGTTTGTTGTGTGTCCGACTATGCGTGCTTTCGAACACCCGCCCAACTCTATCTCCTTGGCTTACCATGAAATTTTACTCAGCATCAGCCAATCGTCAGCATTTATGCGCTTGTCTTGTGCACTGCCCACTAACCAAGGAAGAACAGTAAAAAAAAAACAGTAAAAAAAAGTCTTTGCCTCTCGGCTCAGAGATCTAGTTGGTCTGGTGAAAAAAACAGCTTCAATTATAGTAACGCGCCGCATTTTTTGGCAGTAACGGCGTTATTAAGATAGGACGAGTAATCAATTAGATTACTCATTACTGAAAAAAGTAAAGCCGTTAGTAACGCCGTTATTTATAATGCCGTTATTCATGTCACTGATAACGGCAAGGTAAAGCACTGAGTGAGTGACATTAGTTGAGATACTCTATATAAACATTATAGTGCTCTTTATTCAGAGAGACGCCAGCTCCTCTACTTTTTACTCCATTACTAGTATTTGTATACAGGGCTGTCTGCCCGGTCCAATGTAACGGCGATGGCCAATGCGGTGTCTATGGTTACACATGCAAGTGTGATGATGTCATTTGTTAAAAATCAGATAATTTGCCCTGTGAATCAGGGGAGACTGGTGGAGCTGCCTTGTTAATACCTTAACTGTCACCTTCTCTCTGTTGAACAGTGTAACAATGTGGGACCCGAGCAGGACCTAAACAGGGCTACATGCAGTCCCAGGTAGTTACCTACCTATCTATTACAACATGTTATGACCCAGCTAATATCACACTGTCACTAAGGCTATAAGTTTTCACCTATGACCCGAGTCAAAAATATAACAAAAGCAGTGCGTGTCAAGAACACATTTCTTTCACCACTGTGGCCATCAGTACTGGGCCAAATACCGTAGACACAAAATCTGGAGATTGCTCTATCCTGGTCCTTCTGCTCAGGTTCTCCACAATCTTTGCTCTCCACACAAACAAGTTAAAAAACTTTACTTCTTTCTGAGTTTTCTGCAAAGATATGTAACCCAGAACAACAATGTGTTTAGAAAATGATCCAGAAGATCTTAAAGGGATAGAAGAAGAAGAAGAAGAAGAAGAAGAGGAAGAAGTTTATTTATCTGATTTAGGGTAATTCAATTTTTACACTTTTTTTATTTTAACCTTACACACATTGGCCTGAAATATACACACATACACTAGAGGATGCTGGTCCATAGAGGCAGGGGAGGTTGCTCATCCTCTGTTTCTGAGAGGCAAGAGGGAGATCAAACTATAAAAAGACTAACTGGTTGAAATAAACAAAGACCAAATCTCAGGATCATTTATGAAATCAGTTTCTGCTTTGGAGAAAATCCATTAAGTAAGTAAGTAAATTTAATTTATAAAGCACATTTAAACACAGCATAAACTGACCAAAGTGCTGTACAGCCCATTAAGTGCCTTAAAAACAAATAACAAAACTTTAAACTGAATCCTAAAATGAACTGGGAGCCAATGCAAGGAGGCCAGAATGGGGGTGATGTGCTCACGCCTCCTGGTGCCAGGTAGAAGACACGCAGCTGCAGACGTCTAAGTGAGGATAGGGGGAGGCCAAGGTAGAGAGAATTGCAATAATCCAGCCGTGATGTAATAAAGGCATGGATAACTTAGTCAAGGTCATTGTAAGATAGGAAAGATTAGAGGTGGGAGATCATTCTGAGCTGGTAAAAACTTTTTGACAACAGAGCTAATCTGTTTTTAAAGCAGAGACACCCAGGTTTCTGGCATAGGGTTTGACAGATGGGGTGAGGTGACCTAAGTTTTGCACTACAGTGCATCTTGCCTTGGGAGGACCAAAAATTATGACTTCTGTCTTGTCACTATTTAGCTGGAGGCTAATGAAATTGTGATTGAAATGCTTCAACAGCAAAACCTGCAGGACACCCCTAGTGTCTGGAGGAAAGTGCAGCTGCTGTTTCAGTGTGGGTGTTTACCAATTGTGCTGGGATCATTACTGTCATATACATGAGGAAAACTGTCAGCTGTCTCTGAATAGAAAGCACACACTACTTTAAAAAGCCCTGGTGAACCTGGACTTGTGATAACCCACCGTTGGGAATAAAATATTGGAACTGAAAGTACAGTAAACTTTGTTTGTCTGATTGGAAATGGGGCCAGCTTTGATTCAAGCAGCAAGTAGTCATCATCAGTCAGCACACTTTCCTTCACAGGTGTTGAACACTGGCCTGGTTCTTGTTTCATCTCACAGCCTTGATAAATACTCTATCTTCTGCATTAGGCCTGTAGGGTTCATCTGGAAACAACAGCAGTGAATACAATGATGTTGTTTTTAAGAACTCTTGGAAGCCATTGATTTACTGTTTCATTGTTATTGAACAGAAGAAAGTAGAGATTAGCCAACTAGTGTAAAATAACTGCTCCAAGCAGTTAGGGCTTCAGTGCCTTGCTCAAGAGACCTCGGCAGAGGCCAGGAGGTGAACTGGCATCTCTACAGGTGTGTGTCAACATTGGTACATTACAGTAACAGATGATGTCACTGATGGTCTTACCGGAACAGGTGAGATCCAGGATGTAGGAATAGGAATCTGATGTTACACAGTCCCTGAGAGCGGATCCAGAATGAATACACTCAGAGGTGATCCACCACAAAGGTCTGTCTGAGGATTCCTTTCTCCGTCCAACAGAAACAGGAGAGCCACAATCCAGTTCTCTGCAGACATCGGCTGCCGCCTTCAGGGTCCAGCCATAGCCAAACGCTGGTCTCCAGTCTCCCTGCTTCAGCTCCAGTGTTCCTGCACAGCGACTGTCTCCTCCCACTAACCTGACAGGCTCTGAACAGAAACAAGAGAGTCATCAGTAAAAGAAGTGGCAGTGAGTGAGTTTCATCAGAACAGAAATGAACCAATCAGAGCTGCAGCTCCTCTTCTACCTGAGCAGGTGAGTCCAACAGCTTTTCCAGGTAAGCAGGTGTTTCTAGCTGAGCCTGAGCTTCTACAGTCCAGGAGAGCAGACTCATTGCCTCCACACTGGAACTCTTTGGTCCACATTGGAGCCTCCACTTCTCCATAGAGCGCCCCCTTGAGGACTGAAGGAGCCCCACAGCCGAGCTCCCTACAGACCACCTCTGCATCCTGCTTGTCAAAGTCAGCTTCACACACTGAGGACCACCGCTGGTTAGACTGGTCAGACTTCACCTCCAGTCTTCCTGAACACAGACTAGTCCCATTCACCAGCCTGACAGAGTCTGGACAAATAATAGAAGATAAAATATAGAGAGATAAAAGACAGCAGACACAAAATAAAAAGATGTCATCAACTGGTAAATGGACATCTTTCTAGTCTTTTGACCACTCAAGGCACTGCACACTACATGCCACATTCACCCATTCACACACATCGATACAGTGATGGTCATAACAAAAGCAAAGTAATTCATATATAATTATATCACAGAACAATTTGCAGTTCAGTATTGTGCTCAAGGACACGTCAACATGCAACAGGAGGAGGTGGGGATCGGACCGTCAACCTTCCGACTTGTGGACAACTCACTCTTCTTCCTGAGCCACATCCACCCCAATCCAGTGATTCAAACTGGACTGTCATTAACAAAAGACCACATCTTTATAACAGCACAGATTATTAAAATAACCTGATGGTCTTACCTGAACAGGTGAGATCCTGGATGTAGGTAGAGGAATCTGATGTTACACACTCACTGAGAGCAGATCCAGACTGAACACAGTTAGACCTGACCCTTCAGACACGTCTGTCTGAGGAGTCTTCTCTCCGTAGTAGGGAAATAGGAGAGCCACAGTCCAGTTCTCTGCAGGCAACAGCTGCTTCCTTCAGGGTCCAGCCAGAGAGAAATTCACCTACTGGTCTCCAGTCTCCCTGATGTTTCAGCTCCAGTGTTCCTGCACAGCGATTGTCTCCTCTCACCAACCTGACAGTCTCTGAACAGAAACAAGAGAGTCATCAGCAAAAGAAGTGACTATAATCATTTATTTCTCTTTTCTTTCTGTATTTACCTGTGTTTTGTTCTCCTTCTATCTGCAGTCCTGAGGGGAAAAACAGAAAATATAGTATAAGTATAAAGCAGCATTTTGACACTGCAGTCAGTTTACCTGTTTACTACAGGTTAGAAGAACATGTGAATATCCTGAACACAAAAGTCATCAGGCGGGGTTACATAGAGTTAAAAGAATAGTTTTAACAAATATGATGTTGATGATTCCTCCACCTCAGCTCCTGTCTGTCCAACTATTTCACTCCTGGCTGACCTCTCTGCACTTCCTGTCACGCAACACTGCAAACATTTATTTTATTTAACAGCAGCAGACAAGATCATATTGCTCGACTGGAAAGACAGAACTAAACTATCCATCACACTGTGGCTTCGTTTGTGAACAGAACACAAGTCCCAGAGGACAGGGACTCTGACCCAGAGGACAGGGAATCTGAAACAGAGGACCGGGACTTTGACCCAGAGGACAGGGACTCTGAACCAGAGGACAGGTAAGGGGCTCTAGCCAACTGGTGAATGTTGCCTTGTGTGTTATTTGCAGAAAGGTCTGTAAAGGTGTAAAACTGTTGGTTTATTAAGTTCCTGTTACCATTGGCTAATTAATTAATTAATTAATGATCTGTTACCTACAATAACTTTCTCTCTTTAGGGTGTTTAAAATGTCTGTGAAATGTACAGACATGAAATATAAGATGAGTGATGGGACATCCCACAACTAATCAAATAATCAACTGATTCAGAGTGATCTAGTTTCAGAGCTTCCTCTAGGATTTTTTTCAGTGATGGAGGAAAGTCTTCTGTTGTACCCCACTGGAGTATTTTCAAACTGTGGTATTACTTACTATTAATACGTATTTATACTTTTACTTCAGTAAAGGATCTAATCTTTCCTCCACTCACAGCCTGCACTGTGTGTTACCAGCCGTGCCTTCCCCTTTAAGGAAGGTGGGCTTTTGGGCATCTTGTGCCAGTTTCAATAGGAAGTGAATCCCGGTGTGTGAGGATATTAACGTCACTAGAAGTGTGTAGTTAAGTTCAGATCTCAGTATAATAGTTACTGACGTGTTGTGTGTGTGTTTGCTGCCATAGAAAATAAATAAAAAGTCCCTGTTTATGTAACATTAACATTCTTACGGTGTCTTCTTGTTCTGTTCACAGCTGAGTTGGTCCAGAGTGTGGACAGATAGTTAGCTATCTAACAGATACAAATCAGGTTAAAGAAAAGGTTGAAGCCACACGTGATGAAATGATTGATTGCGTTTTCTTTAATGATTTATCAACAGATAAAGAATGACTTGTAGCTGTTAACTAACAAGTGAAGCACTAACGTAATTTATTTTACTAGGCTAGTTCGGTTTACAAACAGAGTTTTCATTTTGTTTCTGCTTGAAATGATCCCTTTCAGACAGTTTCTCTGGCCTGTCTCTCCTCTTTGCCACTCGCTTTTTCTCTCTCCGAAGCACAATGTCCAACAGTAATCAGCAACTGTTGAAAACACAGTACGCATTATATAGTTGTATGGATTAAACAAAGCCTTGGTGCATATAATTTGCATAGATGACTTTTACAGGAATTGTTTCAGCCTTACTTAAGATATAACATTATAGGACCCGCTAGTCTCGATAGCAGTGTCAGTAAGCTTGGACCTTACTGATTTTCGGGTTTTGAGAAAGTTGGAACCAGTTCCTTATAGAAATGGGTCTTGATCACCATCCCTAACAATGAGTGACCTCCATAGAAAAACAGGCAGGGCAGATTACAAGGACCTCAGCTGTCAGAGTTGAGATGGAGAACATTTAACATTTATCCAGGTTGTAACAGAGGCTACACAGTCATGAAGGGTAGTCAGGTTATTGAGGTTTTTAGGTTGAACTGAGAAATAAAGCTGCGTGTCATCAATATAGCAATGGTCGGAGAGGCCACTAAAGCAGAGTGCCAACTAAGTGTTTGTGTGCTCAAGGTTAATACACTCTTCACTAGGAACAAAATTACAGTTTACTTTTTATCTCACAAAAATTGGATTCCATTTTCATCTCTAAAAAGGAAGATCATGCTCATGGAGCGACAGCGCTCTCTGAAGTTTTATTGCTCCTACAGTGTTCAGATGTGTTTGTCTTCTCTACATAATTTGTCATTTGTGGTGGAATTTTAGTTTTTCCAGGATTTAAATAGCTCCAGATTGTGGTGTAACTCTTCAGGCCTGGTAACACTGAGAGTATGTGCGGAACAGGGATGGAGAAGGACTCCCACAGAGTAATACAAATCCAGGAGAGAGCATTAATCTTTATCACCTTCTAAGCTTGCAGATGTTTCAAGATGTTTGGCCAAAGTGATGGTAATTTCTTGGCTCTCTCTCTCCTTGTCTGTTTTTGAACATATGATTTTTGGTGGAACAATTTTTATCAGTTCCCTCTGCTTGTGCTATTACCTCAGCCTCAACTACTGCTCGCTCTCTGTGGAGACATATTCACATATGCTAATCATTAAAAAGTCATACCAGTCAGAAAACAACTTTCATTTGGAGGGGAACATAAAGTACTTCTTCTCTCTTCACTTTTTCCATAACTTTGTGATTCTTGTTCTGGTTTCTGGTTTGAAGGAGTTTCTCTCTCCAGTGTTTGGTGCAGCCTTTACTGAGTTACCTAAGTGACTGGTAATTTCCGTCGTCTCTATATGTTTTGTTTGGATTACATGAATGAATTACTCTCAGGGACTTTTTGTTTGTGGGGCTATTGTTGCACTTGCAGTGGCGTGTTGAGTGTGGTTGTTATTATTTATAGAATGTATAGAAATACATTAATTGGTGGTTGCAAACTAATAATTTGGTAAAAATAGAATAAAAACAGGGTTTGATTTGATTATAAAATCTGAAGGATTCAAACTTTAATGTCTAAGATCTTACTTTGATGCTTTTATATTTTTGTGTGTGTGTGTGTGTGTGTGTGTGTGTGTGTGTGTGTGTGTGTGTGCTTGTGAAAAACAGATAAAAAACATTCTTCAACTGAATCAACCAACAGCAGTTTGATTGATATTCAGTCATAACAAAACTGATTTAAAATCAATGAAAATGGAGATATCTGTTTCTGTAAATGAAGCCTTCATATGTTCCTCCAACATCCAACACAAATATTCAACACATCATCTTTAAAGCAGAGTCCTACCTGAGCTCAACAGCAACAGCAAAAGCACCAGGTGATCCATGTCCAGGTACAGCGTCTCTCTGCCCGTCTGTCTGGTCTCTGATCTGGTAATCACATGTGCTGTCCTCAGTGTCTGTCTGCTTACAGGAAGAGGTGGAGCTTTAATGGAATATATCTGACTGACTTTCTGTCACATGTTCAGCTTTTTCTGTCGGCCATCCCAGATTGCAAGGAATGTTCCCACAATGTTAGCTAACATTCCCTACAAGTTCTAAGTAGTAGTAAGTCTGTCTCTCTTTTAAAGATCACCAATTCACACTTCACAGACAAACGGTATGTTTTCCAAAGTTGTGAGGAAAATCCCTTCAATTTGGTTCACAGTCAATGACAGCCACCATGGGCATCCGGTCAAGGATGAAGGAAACACAGTCCTTTCAAATCTTTATTACTCCACAACTATTCTGAGTGTGGTCTATACAGAAACAATATGGTTGAATTCTGGTGACTGGAGGTGCACCTGTTGGTGTACAGGGAGAAGAGCAGAGGAGAAAGAACGCAGCCTTAGGGGGATCCGGTGCTGATGGTCCGAGACTTATTGTTGTAGAAGAACTAAAAATTGAGTAAAAATAGAATCAAAAACTGGGTTTGATTTCATGAAAATCTGAAGGATTCAAGTTTGAACAATTTTACAGTTTTTCTGTTTTTCTCTCTTTGATACTTTGATTGTGATTGTGTGTGTTTGTGTTTGTGTGTGTGTGTGTGTGTGTGTGTGTGTGTGTGGTATATGAGGTATATTTTCTTCTGATAACACATACATTAAATCTCTCTCTGTGTGAAAAACAAATGATGTTCACATGCTGGAATGTAAGAAACATCTGCTTTTATGTTCATGGTTGTTCTCATATGCAGGTAAAAAGACATCTATATTTATGTCTGTTGTCATGTAGGGAGAATAGTGGCAGTTGGGAATAGAGCAATTCCCATAGCAAGAAATTCCTTTAGTTTTATAGCCTACAGAACCTCAACTATATAAGTGCCGGACTGGAGGAAAGAGGGGAATTCGGCCAGAAGATGCATCTGACACACTCAATTGTTTTTGTTTAATAAAGTCCTAAATTAAAGCAAGAAGAATGGCGGACCAAAGACCAACTTTTGGCAGCCACAGAAATACACCACATTGATTTGCAACAACAGATAAAAACATTATTCAGCTGAATCAACCAACAGCGGTTTGATTGATATTCCCTGGATTGCCATCATAAACAACAACATGTGTCTTTCTATGAGCAGAGATCTTTAATGCTTTTGTTCTCTACACTAGTTCAATAAAGGGAAACTCTACTGCAGATATTGATCTGTTGATTGGCGGCCAGATACAGCGATTGGTTCGTGTACGCTCTTAAACAGTGTGAGTGTTTCACAGAAATATACTTCAGAGACCTTAACTTAACTTTAACCTTAACTCTAAATAGGGGTTTATATTTTTATATATAGGTTAAAGTGGTTTACAGCAGTGATTCTGCTGTCAGAGAGAAAGCTGATGAAGAGTCATATAGTTGGTGGTGTGTGACTGAGTGCCATAAAGAGTTCAACACTTTCACATATCAAAGCATCAAAGGGCGGAAAAACTCTAATCAATAATCTAAAACTCAGAAATATTGATTACTCTTTATTTTACTCTTAAATGTGCATCATGATTAATTCACCAGTGTTCATATGCTCTCTCTCTCTCACTCTCTCTCTCCCTCTCTCTCTCTCGCACACACACACACACACACACATACTCGTTTTCCTCCTTTCAAAGGTCCACACATGTTTGGGTAATTGTGGGGTCCACCCTTTCCAGTGGTTCTTCACCTTTGTAAAAAGTCAAAGAGCAGTTCCTAATCACACATCAATTTAACAGAATTCACAACCTTTGTCTCCACACTAGTATTTTGGTCACTTTTGGGACTCTGTAGCATTCAGAACTTGTAAGATCCACTTTCATACACAGTTTTTCCATCTTAGTGTGGAACAAAGTTGCTATCTGGAGACATTCATGTTTTTTATGGTTGGTTCTTGATTGCCAAAGAAACTACAGGATAGCATCAGGGATTTATATCCTAACTTCCACCAGCTCCACCAATATGGTACTCAAATAATGACATCCTGCTCATCACATCCAAACCATGGAGACTTTTTCAAATCAATGAGCCTCTGAATTAATTTTTACTATTAAAACTATCAGTACAATATTACATAAAACAGCAACAAGCTTTGTCCTCAATGAGAATATATTTGTTAAAACATGAGAGCAGTGCTATACAAAGTGAAGGTTAGACTAAAATTTGTATAAAATGTATAAAAACTAATATTTTTCGTCCTAAATTAAACACACACACACACACACACACACACACACACACACTGAGGGGACTCTTATCCGGCTATTAATTTGAATTATCAGTTCTAATACAAATTGGTGATGTTTTAGCAGATTGAAAATAACTGATCTAAGTGGTTTTCTAATTCATTGATAAACAGTTAGAAAAGGATGCATGCCTGTCTCACGCCCCGGTTCTGGGAGAAAAAGACTGTTTGAATCCAGTCTTTATAGACCATTTGCTTGTATATGTGCTTAATCAGATCATATATTTCTCCCCCAATGCCGTTTCTGATTAGCCTACAAAAAGTCTCTCTCTCTCTCTCTGAGTGGATGGAGTGTGCGTGCTAAGCAGTGTGATAGCGGTTGTGAGTGATTCATAACTTTTTTCCTATCTTTATCTCTCCCTGTACATGTTGTAAGTAGTGCGTATTATAAGTGTCTCTGTGTACATAGGGGTATTTGCAGTCGACCATTTTTCAAAAGCTTAAAGCCAGTTTATAACCAGGTTAAAGCAGTTTACAGTAGTGGTACGGCCATCAGAGAGAAAGCTGATGAAGCTGATGAAGAGTCATATAGTTTGTGGCGTGTGACTTAGTGCCATGAAGAGTTCCACACTTTCATACTGGACACCAGTATGAACACTGTCTGATCCACTGGTCAAACAAGCTCCACCTATTCCTGTACGTAGACAGACACTGAGGACAGCACATGTGATTACCAGATCAAAGAGCAGACGGACGGACAGAGAGACAATCTACCTGGACATGTATCACGTGTTGGCCCTATTGCTGTTGCTGTGGAGCTCAGGTAGGACTCTGCTTTAAAGATGATGTGATGAATATTTGTGTTGGATGTTGGAGGAACATATGAAGGCTTTATTTACAGAAACAGATATCTCCATTTTCATTGATTTTAAATCAGTTTTGTTATGAGTGAATATCAATCAAACTGCTGTTGGTTGATTCAGTTGAAGAATGTTTTTTATCTGTTGTTGCAAATCAACTCTTTATACACACACACACACACACACACATCATATCAAAGCATCAATGGGAGAAAAACGGGAAAACTAACATCGTTCACATTAAAGTTTTAATCCTTCAGATTTTCATCAAATCAAACATAAATGAGGGAAAAGTAAAGTAAACTGCTCACATGTGGTTTTGATCACCATAGCAACACACAGGAAGAGTGGCGGTTCAGAACTGTCGGATATTGATCTGTTGATTGGCGGCCAGATAGAGCGATGGGTTCATGTGCGCTCTTTAACAGTGGGCGGGACACTTTATCAGTGTGACAGTGTCAGCATCATCTTTAATAGAATACAACTTTATTTAACAGAGTGAAATCCTTCACAATAAAACACTTCAATGAACAAACACAGTGCAACAGCAGATGTTTCCTCGGAGGTTAGCTGCAGCTGTATTTCAGTCTCCTCTCAGTGACTCTCTGCTGATGTTAATAAGACACTGACAGCATTAATCTGATAGGAAGAGCTCAGTATGCCAACAGAACCACAGTCCTGTAATCTGTAATCTATAATCTGTAATCTGTCAGCAGCTTCTTATCAAATTAAAGTTTATCAGAAATTGTGAGGCCTAAACTCTAATCAATAATCTAAAACTCAGAAATATTGATTACTCTTTATTTTACTCTTAAATGTGCGTAATTGATTAATTCACCAGTGTTCACATGCTCTCTCTCTCTCGCTCTCTCTCTCTCTCTCTCTCTCTCTCACACACACACACACACACACACACACACACACACACACACACACACACACAGTGTCACACTCACACACACATACTCGTTTTCCTCCTTTCAGAGGCCCACATATGTTTTGCCTAATTGTGGGGCCCACCCTTTACAGTAGTTCTTACCTCTGTAAAAAGTCAGGCAAGACAAAGAGCAGTTCCTAATCACATCAGTTTAACAGAATTCACAACCTTTGTCTCCACACTAGTATTTTGGTTACTGTTGGGACTTCATTCAGAACTTGTAAGATCCACTTTCATACACAGTTTCTCCATCTTGGAGTGGAACAAAGTTGCTATCTGGAGACATTCATGTTTTTTATGGTTGGTTCTTGATTGCCACAGAAACTACAGGATGACATTAGGGATTTGTATCCTAGCTTCCATCCTCCACATCCTGCAGCTCCTCCTTTTTAGAGCAGACAGACAGACAGAGAGACGCTCTACCTGGACATGGATCAGATGTTGGTGCTGTTGCTGTTGGAACCCCTTACCTGTCCTCTGGGTCAGAGTATTGTGTGATAGGAAGTGCAGAGAGGTCAGCCAGGAGTGAGATGGTTGGACAGACGGGAGCTGAGGTCGAGGAATCCTCATCATCATATCTGTTAAAATAATTACTTTAACTCTATGTAAACTAACTGCAGTGTCCTACAATCAGAAATCTGCTTCATGCTAATGTTTATTTTAGGAAAACACAACTCAACAGGTAAATACAGAATCAACAAATAAATAAAGAATTAAAGAATTTAAAGAATTAAAGTCACTTATTTTACTGGTGACTCTCTTGTTTATGTTCAGAGTCTGTCAGGTTGGTGGGAAGAGACAGTCGCTGTGCAGGAACACTGGAGCTGAAACATCAGGGAGACTGGAGACCAGTGATTGGCTCTGAATGGACCCTGAAGGAAGCAGCTGTTACCTGCAGAGAACTGGACTGTGGCTCTGCTGTTTCTGTAGGAGTGAAAAAGTCCTCAGACAGATCTGTGTGGTTGACCAAGTCTGAGTGTGTTCAGTCTGGATCTGCTCTGAGGGACTGCATAACATCAGAGGCCTCTTCCTACATCCTGGATCTCAGATGTTCAGGTAAGCCCATCAATGACATCATCAGTGACAGTAATGTACCCGTGTTGACACACACACACAGCTGGCCGTTATCCTCAACAAAGTAGTTCAAACACAGCAGCTCTATTTCTCTGCTACAAAGGCAATATGACACCCACACTGAAACAGCAGCTGCACTTTCCTTCAGACACTAGGTGTGTCCTGCAGGTGTCGCTGTTGGAGCATCTCAATCAGAATTTCAATAATGGATTTTCTCCAAAGCAGAAACTGATTTTATAAATGATTCTGAGATTTGGTCTATGTTTGTTTCAACCACTATAGTTTGATCTCCCTCTTGCCTCTCAGAAACAGAGGAGGAGCAACCTCCCCTGATTCTATGGACCAGCATCCTCTGGTGTATGTGTGTGTGTTTCAGGCCAATATGTGTAATGTTAAAATAATAGAAGTGTAAAAATTAAATTTTCTCAAAACATGAACTTTTGTTGGAATTGAGTCCAGTTTGAATCACTGAATTGTTGTTTGACATTTGACATTTGACAGATGACATTTCTTTTTGTGTCTGCTTTTCTCTCTCTATTTTATCTTATATTATCCGTCCAGACTCTGTCAGGCTGGTGGATGGGACTAGTCTGTGCTCAGGCAGACTGGAGGTGAAGTCTGACCAGTCTAACCAGTGGTGGTCCTCAGTGTGTGAAGCTGACTTTGACCAGCAGGATGCAGAGGTGGTCTGTAGGGAGCTCGGCTGTGGGGCTCCTTCAGTCCTCCAGGGGGCGCTCTATGGAGAAGTGGAGTCTCCAATGTGGACCAAAGAGTTCCAGTGTGGAGGCCATGAGTCTGCTCTCCTGGACTGTAGAAGCTCAGGCTCAGCTAGAAACACCTGCTCACCTGGAAAAGCTGTTGGACTCACCTGCTCAGGTAGAAGAGGAGCTGCAGCTCTGATTGGTTCATTTCTGTTCTGATGAAACTCACTTTATTCTTTTACTGATGACTCTCTTGTTTCTGTTCAGAGCCTGTCAGGTTGGAGGGAAGAGGCAGTCGCTGTACAGGAACACTGGAGGTGAAACAGGGAAAGTGGAGACCAGTGATTGGCTCTGAGTGGACCCTGAAGAAAGCAGCTGTTGCCTGCAGAGACCTGGACTGTGGCTCTGCTGTTTCTGTTGGATGGAGAGAGGAGTCCTCAGTCAGATCTGTGTGGAGGATCAAGTCTGAGTGTATTCATTCTGGATCTGCTCTCAGGGACTGTGTAACATCAGATTCCTCTTCCTACATCCTGGATCTCACCTGTTCAGGTAATCAGTGACATCATCAGTGTTATAATTCACAACACTTATGTACACACACACACACACACACACACACACACACACCTGTAGAGATGCCAGTTCACCTCCTGGCCTCTGCCGAGGTCTCTTGAGCAAGGCACTGAAGCCCTAACTGCTTGGAGCAGTGACTGTGTGGCAGCCTCATCACTCTGACATCTGTCCACTAATGCATGTGTCCAGGTCCTGTGTGTGCATCAGTGGCTGCTGACTCAAACATTGTGGAGGACAGGAGGAAAACCAACCCACAGCTTCATGTTATTTTACACTAGTTGGCAGATTATCTCTACTTTCTTCTGTTCAATAACAATGAAACAGTAAATCAATGGCTTCCAAGAGTTCTTAAAACCAACATCATTGTATTCACTGCTGTTTCCAGATGAACCCTACAGGCCTAATGCAGAAGATAGAGTATTTATCAAGGCTGTGAGATGTAACAAGAAGCAGGCCAGTGTTCAACACCTGTGAAAGAAAGCGTGCTGACTGATGATGACTAGTTGCTGCTTGAATCAAAGCTGGCCCCATTTCCAATGAGACAAACAAGCTTACTGTACTTTAATTCTAATATTTTATTCCCAACGATGCGTTATCACAAGTCCAGGTTCACCAGGGCTTTTTAAAGTAGTGTGTGCTTTCTATTCAGGGACAGTTGGCAGTTATCCTCAACAAAGTAGTTCAAACATAGCAGCTCTATTTCTCTGCTACAAAGGCAATATGACAGTAATGATCCCAGCACCATTGGTAAACACCTACACTGAAACAGCAGCTGCACTTTCCTTCAGACACTAGGTGTGTCCTGCAGATGTCGCTGTTGGAGAATTTCAATCACAATTTCAATAATAGATTTTCTCCAAAGCAGAAACTGATTTTATAAATGATCCTGAGATTTGGTCTTTGTTTATTTCAACCAGTTAGTCTTTCTATAGTTTGATCTCCCTCTTGCCTCTCAAAAATAGAGGAGGAGCAACCTCCCCTGCCTCTATGGACCAGCATCGTCTGGTGTATGTGTGTATTTCAGGCCAATGTGTGTAATGTTCAAATAATAGAAGTGTAAAAACGTAAAAGCTTATTACTTAGTTTAAAAACTTCTTCTTCATCATCTTTTATCCCTTTTAGACTTTCTGGATCATTTTCTAAACACATTGTTATTCTGGGTTACAGATCTTCTCAGTAAACTCAGAAAGAAGTCAAATTTTTGAACTTGTTTGTGTGGAGAGCAAAGATTGTGGAGAACCTGAGCAGAAGGACCAAAATAGAGCGATCTGTCGTTCGTGACTTTGTGTCTACGGTATGTGGCCCAGTACTGATGGCCACAGTGGTGAAATAAATGTGTTTTTGACACGCACTGCTTTAGTTATATTGTGCCACTTATTGCTTGCGTCTTCTGTCTTGATTCTGTCATAGATTTCAGAATTTAGTTTCCTAAGTGATATGTGTTTGTACTTTGCAGTTTTTAAAATGTATCCTTTGGTTTTGTGTCTCTTGTTATGTTATGCCAGTATGATGCAAGAACCATTACATCTCCTGTAGTCCAAACACAAGGCTGTACACCTGTGTCTACTTACTTGATTGTGTGACGTGACCCATCACCAACATGTTACAGCCCTCTTGTGGGATGGGATACCAAAACCCCAAAAGTATAAAATATTTAACGTTTTACACGAAAAAGAAACCAAACAAACACACAGATTGGCTCCAATAATGAACAAGTGTTGAAAAATGGATAACAAGTGTTACATTGTCAATATGATGGTAACATAGAAAACACTATTAAGAGGCTATGGGAAGCTTAGATTCCCCAATTTTTTCACTGAAAAATATGTCACCAGCTTCCTGACTGAGTTGTGTGCTGTCAGTGTACAGTCTGAATCACTGAATTGGGGCAGTTGTGGCTCAGGAAGTAGAGTGGGTTGTTCACTATTTGGGAGTTGTCAGTTCGATCCCTGGTTCATCCAACTGCATGTTGATGTGTCCTTGTGCAATATAGTGAACTCCAAATTGCTCCCAATGCTGTAAATCAATGTCAAAATGTACATAAATGAATACATTTCCATTTGTGATGGCCATTGCCATTACTTTGAGTGTGTTTCAATGGGTGAATGTGGCATGTTGTGTACAGTGTCTTGTGTGGTCAGAAGACTAGAAAGGTGCTATACAAGTACAGCCCATTTGCCATTTACCAGTTGATGACATATTTTTATTTTGAGTCTGCTGTCTTTTATCTCTCTCTATTTTATCTTCTAATTTCTGCCCAGACTCTGTCAGGATGGTGGATGGGACTAGTCTGTGCTCAGGCAGACTGGAGGTGAAGTCTGACCAGTCTAACCAGCGGTGGTCCTCAGTTTGTGAAGCTGACTTTGATCAGCAGGATGCAGAGGTGGTCTGTAGGGAGCTCGGCTGTGGGGCTCCTTCAGTCCTCAAGGGGGCGTTCTATGGAGAAGTGGAGGCTCCAATGTGGACCAAAGAGTTCCAGTGTGGAGGCGATGAGTCTGCTCTTCTGGACTGTAGAAGTTCAGGCTCAGCTAGAAACACCTGCTCACCTGGAAAAGCTGTTGGGCTCACCTGCTCAGGTAGAAGAGAAGCTGCAGCTCTGATTGGGTCATTTCTGTTCTGATGAAACTCACTTTATTATTTTACTGATGACTCTTTTGTTACTGTTCAGAGTCTGTCAGGTTGAAGGGAGGAGACAGTCGCTGTGCAGGAACACTGGAGCTGAAACGGGGAGAATGGAGACCAGTGTTTGGCTCTGACTGGACCCTGAAGGAAGCAGCTGTTGCCTGCAGAGAACTGGACTGTGGCTCAGCTGTTTCTGTAGGAGGGAGAAAGGAGTCCTCAGTCAGATCTGTGTGGTGGATCAGGTCTGACTGTGTTCAGTCTGGAACTGCTCTCAGGGACTGTGTAACATCAAGTTCCTCTTCTTACATCCTGGGTCTCACCTGTTCCGGTAAGCCCATCCGTGAGATCATCAGTGTTGTAATTCACGACAGCAATGTACACACACACACACACACACACACACACACACACACACACACACACACACACACACACCTGTAGAGATGCCAGTTCATCTCCTGGGCTCTGTCGAGGTCTCTTGAGCAAGGCACTGAACCCCTAACTGCTTGGAGCAGCGACTGTGTGGTGGAAACTGATTTTATAAATGATCCTGAGATTTGGTCTTTGTTTATTTCAACCACTTACTCTGTTCATAGTTTGATCTCCCTCTTGCCTTTTAGAAATAGAGAATGAGCAATCTCCCCTGCCTTTATGGGCCAGCATCCTCTGGTGTATGTGTGTGTATTTCAGGCCAAGGTGTATAATGTTAAAAAAACAAAAGTGTAAAAATGTAAAAGCTTATTACTTACTTTGAAAACTTCTCTGTCTTTTATCTCTTTTAGATCTTCTGGATCATTTTCTGAACACATTGTTATTGTTGGTCACAGTTCTTCTCAGTAAACTCAGAAAGAAGTCAAACTTTTGAACCTGTTTGTGTGGAGAGCAAAGATTGTGGAGAATCTTAGCAGAAGGACCAGAATAGAGCAATATGCAGATGATGATGTAGTGTTATTGTCTGAAAATACGTTGAAAGTGTTGAAAAATGGGTAGCAAGTGTTCCAGTGTATTCAGTGTAAATATGATAATAATAAATAATAATACACATTTTATTTAGAGAGCACTTTTCAAGAAACTCAAAGACACTTCACATAAGTTTAAAAGGAAAAGAAAAAGGTAATAAAAACAACACACTAAAAAAATATATCTATAAATACAACACTCAACAATGAATTAAACATTAAAAGCAGTCCTGAAAAAGCAGGTATTTATCAGTGATTTGAAGTTGAATGGATCATTACAGTCTTGGATTTGTTTGGGGAGAGAGTTCCAGAGGGAGGGGGCAGCAATGGAGAAGGCTCTGTCCAGGTACGGTGGTTGGTCCTCAGTGGTGGAGACAGGAGGTTGGCATCAGAAGAGCGGAGGCTTTGGGAAGGAGTGTAGCGATGGAGCAGGTCAGTGAGGTGGGGGGGGCGGGGGTTTCTGGTTGTGGAGAGCTTTGTGAGTGAGGAGAAGAACTTTAAACTGGATCTGTTGTTGGACTGGGAGCCAGTGGAAGTTCTGTAGGACAGGGGTGATGTGGTCACGGGAGTGGGTATGGGTGAGCAGGCAAGCAGTAGAGTTCTGGATGTCCTGCAGTTTATTAAGGACTTTGGAGGATGTATCATATAAGATGATCTTGCAATAGTTAATTCAGGATGTGATGAAAGTGTGGATGAGGGTCTCAGCAGTAGAAGTGGAGAGTGAGGGGCAGAGGCGTGCAATGTTTTTCAGGTGGAAGAAGGCAGTTCTGAGTATTTGGTTGATGTGGTGTTCAGATGATAACCAATGATGGAAACATTGCTGCAGTCTGTGCTCTTATAAAGATGTGTTCTGTTGTTAATGATGAACTTCTGTTGGAACTGTTCTGAGTCCAGCTTTAATCACTGAATTGTTGTTTGACATCTTTTTATTTTGTGTCTGCTGTCTTTTATCTCTCTATTTTATCTTCTTTTATCTCTACAGACTCTGTCAGGATGGTGGGTGGGTCTAGTCTGTGCTCAGGCAGACTGGAGGTGAAGTCTGACCAGTCTAACCAGTGGTGGCTCTCAGTGTGTGAAGCTGACTTTGACCAGCAGGATGCAGAGGTGGTCTGTAGGGAGCTCGGCTGTGGGGCTCCTTCAGTCCTCCAGGGGGCGCTCTATGGAGAAGTGGAGTCTCCAATGTGGACCAAAGAGTTCCAGTGTGGAGGCCATGAGTCTGCTCTTCTGGACTGTAGAAGCTCAGGCTCAGCTAGAAACACCTGCTCACCTGGAAAAGCTGTTGGACTCACCTGCTCAGGTAGAAGAGAAGCTGCAGCTCTGATTGGTTCATTTCTGTTCTAATGAAACTCACTTTATTCTTTTACTTTTGATGACTCTCTTGTTTCTGTTCAGAGCCTGTCAGGTTGGAGGGAAGAGGCAGTCGCTGTGCAGGAACACTGGAGGTGAAACAGGGAGAATGGAGACCAGTGTTTGGCCCTGGCTGGACCCTGAAGGAAGCAGCTGTTGCCTGCAGAGAACTGGACTGTGGGTCTGCTGTTTCTGTAGGACGGAGAAAGGAGTTGTCAAACAGACCTATGTGGAGGATCACCTCTGACTGTGTTCAGTCTGGATCTTGTCTGAGGGACTGTGCAAAATCACTGTTCACTTCCCTTACCCTGTATCTCACCTGTTCAGGTAATCATATCAGACATCATCAGTGGCATAGTTTATGATAGTAATGAACACACACACACACACACAAACACACACACACGCACGCACGCACGCACGCACGCACGCACGCACGCACGCACACATCCATTTTAACAGATTAGATCAGTTACCCTGGTTGTTTGAGTAGCTGGTCTCAGGTGTGACTGCAGCAACAGTTCACTACATAGTCATGTTTTCCGTAAGCCATGCAGTTCCCAGCAAAACAGACAGTGAAAAGGGTCTGTTCTTAGTCATATCGACGTTACACCAGCAACATATATACTTTTTAAAACAATTTGAATGCCTGTATATGTAGATTATGTCACAGACATGGAAAAAAGTTGAATGTACTTTTTAAACTCAACACATCCTGTATCTGTTTGAGATTAAAGGCTCTCCAGTGTTTCTGTGGACAGAATGCATTCATATATGAACAAGTATATTACTGTTTTGTGTGTATCAAAAGCAAACTCAGTATAGAAAGACCAGAAAGACTTCTTCTATCCCTTTAAGTTCTTCTGGATCATTTTCTAAACAGATTGTTATTCTGAGTTACAGATTTCTCAGTAAACTCAGAAAGAAGTCAAACTTTAGTTAATAGTGCAATATGCAGATGATGATGTGTTATTGTCTGAAAACACATTGAAAGTGGTGAAAAATGGATAGCAAGTGTTCCAGTGTATTCAGTGTAAATGTGATGGGAACATTGCTGCAGTCTGTGCTGTTATAAAGATGTGTTCTGTTGTTAATGATGAACTTCTGTTAGAACTGTTCTGAGTCCAGTTTGTATCACTGAATTGTTGTTTGATGACATCTTTTTATTTTGTGTCTGCTGTCTTTTATCTCCCTCTATTTTATCTTCTATTATCTGTCCAGACTCTGTCAGGCTGGTGGATGGGACTAGTCTGTGCTCAGGCAGACTGGAGGTGAAGTCTGACCAGTCTAACCAGTGGTGGTCCTCAGTTTGTGAAGCTGACTTTGGTCAGCAGGATGCAGAAGTGGTCTGTAGGGAGCTCAGCTGTGGGGCTCCTTCAGTGTTCAAGGGGGCGCTCTATGGAGAAGTGGAGGCTCCAATGTGGACCAAAGAGTTCCAGTGTGGAGGCCATGAGTCTGCTCTCCTGGACTGTAGAAGCTCAGGCTCAGCTAGAAACACCTGCTCACCTGGAAAAGCTGTTGGACTCACCTGCTCAGGTAGAAGAGGAGCTGCAGCTCTGATTGGTTCATTTCTGTTCTGATGAAACTCACTTTATTCTTTTACTGATGACTCTCCTGTTTCTGTTCAGAGCCTGTCAGGTTGGTGGGAGGAGACAGTCGCTGTGCAGGAACACTGGAGCTGAAATATCAGGGGGAATGGAGACCAGCGTTTGGCTCTGACAGGACCCTGAAGGAAACAGCTGTTGTCTGCAGAGAACTGGACTGTGGCTCTGCTGTTTCTGTAACACTGATACAGGAGTCCTCCGTCAGATCTGTGTGGATAATCACATCTGACTGTGTTCAGTCTGGATATGCTCTGAGGGAGTGTGCAACATCAGCTTCATCTTCCTACATCCTGTATCTCACCTGTTCAGGTAAGCCCATCAGGGACATCATCAGTTACATAATTGTTATGTTTCTTACTGATGTCAAATCAGCTCACCAACCAAGGAAGCTACAGATGATTTTTCTCATCAGTCCTCCTTTGAGAGCTGTTTGCTCTCCCTGTCTCAGGAAAGCTAGAGCAGTAGAAACTGAAATATCACACTGACGGTTTAAAAGATGATCAGCTGACAACATGAGTCTATGCATGTTGTTTCCTGAATGAAACTCTGACTGCTGTCGTCATCTAGTAATGAAGGTGCTGTGTTATCCAAACAAACCTAATAAATGATCAACTGGCGGGGCGCCCGGTTAGCTCAGTCAGTAGAGCTGGCGACCCATGTACAGAGTTGCTGCATCGACCCAGGGTTCGAATCGACATCGTTTCACTATACAATAAAGGCAATAAAAAATAAAAAAATTGTCACTGGCAGCAGCACAAATATCATCCACAGAAATGATCCTAAGCAGGGTCCATGAAGCAGTCATAGCTCCGATGGAAAGAGCTCACAGCCTCCGTAAGGCTGGAACCCACAGCTTTTATAATCCAGTACCAGAGCCTCCAGTACCCACAGGATAGATGCTGGTGAGGTCGGGGCTCACCTCTATGAGAACAAAGCTCAAGACACAACAGCTTGTAGGTCTGCCTAAACCCCTTAGTACTGTCTGTGTAGATGCATCAGGCTTGCACAGGAATTTACAAGTTTACCCACCGATCAGTGGCAAAAGGCACAGGATGAAAACCCAGCAGCTCCAGCAGTAGGCCAGTTGTAATCATGTGTTCCAACCAAATGTAAGCTAATTTTCACCTTCAATTATGTTTATTCACCGGATCATTTGTATTTACTTGTGTGAGTAATGCCAGTAAACAACTGACCTTTAACCTGGTTTACTAAAGCAGAATGAGCCCAAAATAAAAAGATTTTGCTGTAATTTAATGTCAATAAATGGATCAAAATGATGCTGAAATAACGACATTATGATGGGGGTTTGTAAGAAGTCTGAATTCATCCTTTGCACAACAGATTTTGGGAGAAAACCAACAGTTCTTATCATCAGAGTGGTCGCCCTGCTGCTGACTCTGCTGTTGGTGACCACCGCCCTCTGCTTCTACTGTAAGGTACTGACACTGTCTGTTATTAAGAGTTATTATTCACTGAAATGAAGCACACACTCATGCTGTCATGTCTCTCCAGGCCTGCAGGGGCCAGAAGCCGGGCAGACAGGAGAACATTGAGCTGGATGATTATAACCTGGGTGTTCCTGCAGCTGAAGGAGGGCTGACTGAAGAGGAAGGTGCTCAGGGAGCAGAGTAGGACCTCCAAGGAGCTCCTCTCACATCCACATGGATTTCACAGCTGACAGACAACCATCAGCTCAGTCGAGGATTTTACAATTTTATACTCATGTTGGCTGAAATGATTATATTACATTATATTTGTATTACTCTAAGCATGAAAAGACCAAAATCAACAACATGTTGTCCATCTCACAATACTTTGACTTCAATTCAATACAGACAGACACAGAGAGACTGAGGTCCAAGCACCAAGTCTGGAATTACAATACTCGATCAGATTTGGTGATGTTTAAACAATTGAATTTTGACAAACAAATATTTGACAAACAGACAATGTACAATATTAAAAGTCAGCAGCTGTTTGACACCAATGTAATCTTGTTAGTGAGATATGAACTTTATAACTTTACTTTAGCACCCCCTTGTGGTCGACATGGGGTTTTTCTGTGAGCAAAGAAGTACCTAAATATATGTGTATTGTCGATACTACGAGAGAAGGACCACATTAAGTCTAATCTGGGAAAAAATGATCAAATGGGAGCAAAAGTATGTTTGGTCTTGTAATCTTATTTTAGTTTAACAATTCAGCATTTTGATCCTTTTAGTAAATCAGGATTTTGCTTAGTTTCATACAAATTGTACCTATTTTTGTAAATATGGATTTGCTTATTTTAGAAATTAAGCATTTTTCTTGTTTTTTTACAATTAAGGATTGTGTTTATTTCATCTGAATTTTGTCTACTTTTTTATTTTGTATGAATTTTACTTAATTTTGTGATTTAGCTTGTTTGGTAGAATTTACTTTGCTTAAAAGTCCAGTGTGTAACATTGAGGATGATCTATTGTTGTCACACGTTTTGCAGCCGTCGTAGATTATCCTACACGCTTGGAAGGCGAGCAGTATTCAGTTGGTTGCAGTCTACAATTTCACCATTAGATGCCACTAAATCCTACACACTGGGCCCTTAAGAATTTTACTTATTCCGTATGGATTTTGTTTTTAATGTTGTGATTAAAGCTACAGTAGGTAATGTGAGAAAAGCTAGATTTTGACAGTATCCAACTGAAAAATCCCACCCACTTCCTTCAGGCCTCCCTCCAAAGCCTCTTCCCGAAAACACAGGGACACGTAGTGCCTGACATCATTTCCTATCAGTTCATCCAGACCAAATTTAAATGATTGGCAGAGCTCATTAAAGGCCTGCAACGGCCACAGATACCTGATTGTTTTTGTCTTTTCTCAGAGCATTTAATTTATTGATTGCTGTCAAAGAGAATTTTAACAAACACAACAAAAAGATTATTTTGAAATACATTACTAAGGATTTTGCTTACTTTTACAAGTAAGAATTTAGCTCATTTTGTATGAATTTTACATATTTTCGTAATTAAAGATTTTGCTTGTTTTGTGTGAATTTTGGTTAATTTTGTACAGAGCCTCTCAGGAAAAAATAAAACCTTTTAAATTGTTGCATAAAAAAGCACTTCCCGATCATTGTTTCAGGCATGTCGTTGTTTGGGAAAGGGCAAACCAAAGCTATGGACACCACCACAACCTCCTCCCTACGAGTACTTTGTTGCTATTTATAGCTAAACCAGGGGGGCAGGTGAAAATAGCAGAATAGCTATTATCTATGTATTGTGTTAAAATATTGTTTACACATAAATGTATGAGTAATAATATAATATATAATATTCTAAAAGGGACAATTCTCAATAACAAAAGATGAAGTGTGATGAGGTGGTGAAGCAGTGTGGGATCATGGGAGTTGTTGTCTTCACCACCATTGTCATCATTGCAGTCATCTTCTCCCGGTTAGGATTCCTTCAGTGTTCATGGTTCAGGAGGTTTCTCCCGGGAGCCCAGTTATCCACTGAGGGGATATGATGCCATCGACAGGCGACCGGTGAAACGCAGCGTCACCTGAATAAAATGACAGATATTTCTGAGTTTGAAACATTTGAGATAATGTAAGAACTCAACTACATATAGAACAGCTCTAGAGTTTATACACTGTTTAATGTTTATAGATTATTGATTGAATCAACTACATATAGAACATAGAGCCAGAGTTTATTCACTGTTTAATGAGGACATGTTACAGATTATAGATTTAAATTGGCTGAATGTGGTTAATTTACTTTTAGTTAAGACTACTTTATTGTCAGTGAAGGACTTTTATTTGTTGGTAATTTATTTTAATTGTGGTCTACCAACATTGCTCTGGTGATAAAGTAGACCTCCTCAGTGCTGTGATACCTTACAGGTACAGCAGATGGCGTAACAGGACAAAGAGGCGTCAAGAGAGCAGAGAGCGAAATGAAGGAGCGAGAGAGGAGAGAGTCTGTTCTCCACACTCACCTAAACATCCTGGCTCTCCGGATATGCACCTGCAGCCTCTCCTTGCAGTCCTCCTCCTCCTCCTCCACCTCCTCCTCCTGTCCTCCTCACCGGCGGTCGGACAGCGGTAGTGCGCACTGAGCAGCGGGAGTGCGCAAGGCTACACCGGCATGCACCTGGAGAGAAACCGCCCCGCCAAGCCGTCCAAGGGCTCAGCCGGAGACGCAGCAGCATGCAGAGCGATGCTCTAACGGCAGGGATAACGCAGCAGAGCGCCGGGCGGATATCGGAGCTGCAGCATGGGCGTGGGAGAGAAGGCACAGCCAAAATGAAAGCGATGTAAATCCGAGGACATCAGAAGGGTGGGTGGGGGGAACCCAAGTAGCGTTCGGATCGGAGTTGTCCCGGGTGTATTTTGGGGCTTGGTTTGGTGTCTTGTTCTCTGAAATTCACCAACACTTCACCAGTACTTTTCCCTGTCAACCTGCACTGGAGATTAAAAGGATGGAGAAAGGCGCACAGCCGCAGCTGTCCAAAAGCGCAGAGAGTCCGGCGGAGGACATCTCCAAAATGAACGACGAGGAGCTGCTGAAGTGGGGCAAAGAGGAGCTGGTGCGGCGGCTGCGGAGGACGGAGGCAGAGAAGAGGGGCGTTATCGTGGAGCACGGCAATCTGATGCGGGAGGTGAACCGGAGACTCCAGCAACACCTGAACGAAATACGGAGTTTGAAGGTGAGGGTGGGCCCCGGGGAGCCACGATGTACCGGGTTTTATACCGGAGTGTAGGCCGTAACAAAGGACCTGTGGACCTGAGAGAGAGGAAGCCTTCTGAGATACAGTGAGGCTTACAGATGGCCAGTTAACGGCAAAATGGTGACCAAGAGTCAGGGATATAAACTAATTAAACCTGTTGCATATGGGAGAGACAGACTGCAGGTGGATGGCTGCAGCAGGAAACTCATTTTCAATATAATCTTTAAGTATGAGATGTTATTTGAAGTAAATGTCCCAGAAATACAGAAATGTTTGCTGGTGCAGCTTTAGGTCGACATTTAACCCTCATCAAAGCTCTGATGATTTCATTCACAGCTGAAACCATGAATCCATTAATCCATGAGTTGATCAGCAGAAAATGAATGAAAATGAAAAAATTAGCTATATTTCCTGATTTGTGACGATTCGCTGTTTTACTCTCTTATATCATTCGTTTAATTGTTGATTAGTCTGAAGGTTGTGTTTTATATTAACTAATGAATCATCAATCAGCCCACAAAATGGTGCAAATGTGATATTTTCATTCGATTTTCTGCCTACTGTCATATTAGACAAAGAACAGCAGCGAATCCTCACATCGGAGAAGTTGAACCGGAGTATTTGGGGCATTTCTGCTTAAAAAGTCACTCTGATGATCAGAAAACACCTCACACTAACACAGCTGCATGATGGGAATATTCTTCTCATTCATCAAATGATCCGTCCCAGCAGGAATGTGCATGTAATCCCTCACTGTGCCGCTGTGTGTGTGTGTGTATGTGTGTGTATGTAAACCAGGACGTGAACCAGAAACTGCAGGAGGACAACCAGGAGCTGCGGGACCTTTGCTGCTTCCTGGACGACGACCGGCAGAAGGGGAAGCGGGTGTCGCGGGAGTGGCAGCGTCTGGGCCGCTACAGCGCCGGCCTGATGAGGAAGGAGGTGGCCATTTACCTGCAGAAGCTGAAGGAGCTGGAGCAGCGGCAGGTGGAGGTCATTCGGGAGAACCTGGAGCTCAAGGAGGTGTGCCTCATGCTGGAGGAGGAGAGGGCTGCGGCTGCAGGGGGAGGAGGCGTCGGCGGGCAGGGAGGCCCCGGCCGCAGGAGCTCCATCGACAGCCAGAGCAGCTTGTCCCAGCTGGGTGGAAGCGTCCCAGCACCTGGCCTGCTGCGGGACGTCGGCGATGGGAGCAGCACCTCCAGCGCGGGGAGTACAGATAGTCCCGATAACCCCCACCTCAAACCCCCTCCTCTCGGCTCCAATGCCGGCCCTGGATCCAGGTCCAGACCGGGAGATGTGTGTGAATCCACAGGCAGAAGGCACAGCTCCACCCCAGAGTACCACACCTTCCCCCAGTCCTGCCGCCCCCGTGGGGGGTCCCTCACCAACCTGGACCCTCGTGGCCTTCGGGGACACAGCCCAGAGAAACACAGCAGGTCTCCCACCAGGCTACCATGTGACTCCCACCCCAAACCCTGCAGCTCTGACCTACTAGCCCAGAAACAGCTATTGATGTCAGGGCAGGCGTCACCAGGCTGCGGGAAGGGCTCAGCCAAGTCCAGCCCAGAGCTGAGTCAGAGACACAGGCCGGTCCATGTGGCGGGGGCAGGTTGTGGGAGTCCTGAGGCCAAGCAGGCAGCGATGGGGACGCCGGAGCACCTAAGGCAAGGGAGGGTGATTGTGGGTAGTCCAGAGTCTATACGCCGCCACCATCACTATCAGCACAGTGCCGGGGTGGAGCACGGCAAGGGGAGGTACAGCGGTGGCTCCCCTGGGAGGGACGGGGGTCAGAGGAGGGCCACAGGAGAGGAGATGCCCCCCCACCACCAGAGTCTGTACAACGGTAGGCACAGGGTAACTTTTATCTTGTATTTCAATTCATAACCCAGAAAATGACATCAGAATAGAACTGTAGAGAGATTGTAACGCTTTCATGTTACGTCTTTATGCCAAAAAAGATCAGATCAGATACTGCACTCACATTTTAAATAAGTTCTTTACAGTCCAAAGCTCATAGGAGTCAAGTGTTTCTGTCTGTCCGAGTACTGACACAGCACATTAATGGTGGGGTCAGAACAGACTGGGAGCACCTGTCGTGCTACTGGATGGATGAGACCAGCTGATATCATGATTGACAGCCCCTGATAGTGACAGCACGGAGATGATGTGTGAGTGAATGCAGGATGGAGAGCGTAACTACAGGCTTTTAATGGGGGCGGGGAGGGGGCCCAGTGGGAGCACCCTAGCGTTGAGAAGACTTGTTCTTTAAATACATAAGCACACATAAATACGGGTGGAGGTTTATAGTTCCAAGATGTAGAGCAAATAGTATAAAAAGATCTTTGTTCCAGCAGCTATCACTCACATTCACAAATTCTAGTTCCTTTATTTTTACCTGTATTTTACCTTCTACTAGAGGCTGTTTATTTTAGTGTTTTTGATTGTTTTCTCCTTGTAAGTCATTCAGCTTTGACATTATGATGTTTCCAACCTTTTAATTGAGGACATTTTCTCGAACTTATCCCTTTTTTGTCGTAATCAGGATGCACAGACTTGATTGGCTGAGTGGCATTTTATTGTCTGTGAGCTTCCTGGGAACCAGTGCCGTAAAGGCTAGAAAAGCTTCGTCAAACCTGAATAATCCTCAATAATTTAATTATTAGAGATCTAGGTCGGGGTCGGAGTGTTGGACAGGTTAACAAACCACCTACATACATATATATACATTTACAGTTTATATTCCAGTAATAGTACAGGGTCTGTGCAAAGCTGACTGAAACTGCCTACAGCGTTGAGTCTCCCTCTCTCACATCATTACGTCTGCTGTATGAATTACTGAAGTATAGATAACTGAATCTACTTAAGTACAGAAGAATTTGCACTTTGTTCCATCCCACCTTTGTTACATCTGCCTGCTGATTCCACCTCCCTTCCGAGGAAGCATTATATGTCGGAGCAACACATGACATTAAACAAACGAGATGTAGCATGCTCATATGAGAGCTTTAGAGGTGCTGCTAGCTGAACAAAGTGGTCTTTGTGCTAAGCTAACTATCTAACTCACTGAAGAAAAAGCTAAAATGTGGAGCACGGTTCATTCTCTACATTGGAAATAATCATTTGTGAACTCGAGGTCCAATCATGAGCTTTTTCCCAGCGTGCAGGTGACCTTGGTTTCATGACACACAAGGTCAAGTTCACCCACACAGAGAAGTCTCAAGAGCTCAACTAAGCTTAGACCCAGCTTAGGAGCCAGACTTACAATCACACACACACACACACACACACACACACACACACACACACACACACACACACAGCTCATGTGGATGCACTGGCTTGGCAGCAGTAGTAGAGAGTGAGGGAGTGTCATCTGTGTGTGTAAGCAGGGGAACGTAGGTGATGCAACCTGGTCTCCAAGGTGTACGGCTTACATAGGTACACACACGTACACACACTACACACACGTACACATACGTACACACACTACACACACGTACACACTACACACTCGTACACACACTACACACACGTACACACACTATACAAACGTACACATACGTACACACACTACACACACGTACACACTACACTGAGAAACGGAAGTGAAGGTGGAGTGAGACTTGACACATGAGTGGTGGAGTTTAATGTGTGTGTTCATGCATGTACACAGAAAGACAGGTCAACACACATATGTTGAGTGTGTGTGTGTTTGTGTGTCAGAGCCGGTTCACTCATTTTAATTAGCTCACATTTGACAGTTGCTCAACTCTTCTGAAATGCTCCCATTGATTTCTCCCACATGCATAAAGGCTGCTATCTGACCGCAGACGACACCTGAGCTAATTTACTTGTAAGTCCGACTTCTTGTTGCTTCCTTTAAATATTCCAAAGCGCTCCCGTGTGGCGTTTCTGAGCGTTTACTTTGAATGTGTTGCGTTCAGGGACCCATCTTTTGCCAAACCTACCTAACAGTTTGCATAATATATAAAATCTGATCTCAATCTTAATACAGCAGTAAAATAAAACATTAGTGCAGCTGATTATTAGTAATCGAGGAAACCGATAACCGTTATTAGGAACTGATTTACACTTGCATTAAAAATAAAAATCTTAGTGTGAAATTAGAATAAAGTGGTGTAAGTTTACTTAAGTACTGTACATAAGAACAGTTGTGAGGTACTTTACTTGAGTATTTCTATTTTATGCTGCTTTATACAGTTGTATGTGAAAGCTTGGGCACCACCTTTTTTTATTGAACAGGTGTAAACACAGCTTCTCTGGGGTTTCAACATAAAACTTTTAAAAACATTCATGAATTGTTTTTTTTTTTTTCATTTCATAAATTTAACAAAAACTAAAAAAACAAGTATGTCACCTTCACTGGCTCCGACAAACGACCATAACGCCAAACTCGAGGCTTCAGAACGGTTCTCCACAAACCAACGGGTGACATTATGATAGGCTCACACTAGGAGGCGAGTTGAGCTGCTCTCATTGGCTGCTCTTGGTTTGAAAACAATGGCGGCTTGCCTGCTCACACAGGATCACACAGTAAAATGTGTTTGTGAACAGATTTGAGGAGAGAAATGGTCAACAACAGAATCTGGATCCATATCTGATCAGCACTGCCTAGTTGATGGGTGATGACCATAATGCCAATGAATGGATGTATAAATACACAGTATACAGGAACACTATAAATCTGTCCCCACACCCTATTCAGGGACGACCACCATGAATAATCCTGTGGGAAACACTGTGCAGTACGACTGTTGGTTAGTTTCTCTCTTCTCTGTAGAAAACTGCAGCGCAGACACAGTCCTTGTTCATAAAATGCTTGATAATCAAAGTCAAGAGCTGTTTTGATTTTCTGCCGTATTTGCTCCCTAAAGGTGTTCTCATAGCACCCAATACCTCTCTCTTGATGTCTAAACCATGAACTGTGCTGAGTCTCACAACATCAATAGTGAGCCGGGACGACATTTTACCACTCGGACATGCTGCAACAAAATCAGGTATCTTTATCTTTACTTTGTGCTTCAACTGGAATGATCTCTCTGCACCCATGAAACAGTTTGTAACCACTGAAGACTCAGGGCTCCATATCGGAGGTTACAGTTGAGCCGTCTTTATATTTCCCGCTGCATCACAGGCTGCATCTGATGCTGTTTGCTGAAACGTGAGCTTGTCGGTGCTGTACTCTGGTAGTCCAGCAGCAGTAATGATTTCTTTAGTGCTGAGTGGAAGCGCTCTATATTACAGCTGAGGCCATGGGAAATTGCTTTGTACCTTGCAGGATCCCTGACTCAGCTGTTACCTGAAACAATAGTGGCTGGATGTACTGTACCGTAAGCTGAGACGATGCATACACATCTTAATACATTTGCAACATACTGTATGCTTTTAGTAGTTTAGTGAAGTTTAGGCTCTGTAAATCCACAGCTCTTTGCAGTAGTAGATGCATAGATCAGCAAATGACTCAGATTGCTACAGACATGGAGAACAGTTTAGATTTTAATGGTTTCATTCAGATGGAAATCATGCTTTTGTCTGTATAGTAGGGCTTCACGATTATGGCCAAAATGAAAATCACAGTAATTCTCATCGATATTGAGATCACGATTATTTCCTGATTACAGGTCCCAGAATACTGAAGGCTGCAAAACAAACTTAATTTAGCGAGGCAATAGTTTTCCATCTTTGTGTGAGCAGCTGTGATCTGATTTTATGCTGCAAGGACTCGAGTCTGTGAACAGTGACAGTGTACCCTGGCTGAGAGGCTGGAGGTGTGCAGCTCTTCCTCTAACAGCTCACTGTGGCTGCTCCTTCTTGTTCCATTACTCCCCGACATATTTCAAACTGACTGTTGACTGTACAATGAACCCAAATATTGAACTCAGTAACTGCAGGAAGTTTGTGTAAAACAAATGATTATTTCCTGTTAAGGGAACGTTTTATAGAATTCTTCCACAAGTCTGTATTATTTACTTTTAACAATCATAGAGATTTAATAGGCTTCAGTGTTTTCTTGTCCCTGATGTTTAACCATTGTTCTATTAGACAATTTACTTCACATTTACTTTTCTTCATAGAAGTGAACTAAATGCTGTGATATATATTTTTAAAGTTTTCTTTCACCCCTTAAAATCAGGAAGGCCTTGCGAGGCCCCCAGGTTGGGAACCAATGTTTTAGATTGCGGGCAGGGTCAAGCCAAGTGACAAGCCCTTCCTGTGACTTTCTTCAAAACAAAAGTAAACTTGTGTTTAGCCAGTTAAAAGCCTTTAATATGAAGCTGCAGCAGTAGGAAATGTTTGGTTGTCATTAGCAGTATCTGAATACAGCATTTTTTCCAGGATTGAAAATGTCCAGGCTGCAGCTGCAGGGTGTGTGTGCAATGACAGGACGGCTCCCCAAACGTGAAACCAGAACATCTGGATCGCCCGGTGGCTGGCTGTTAGTTTAGGAAGCACTTTATTTGAGATATGACTCTCTCGCTGTGGGGAGGATATGGTTGGCCAATGTCAGAGCTGAACTGCAACATAACATGTTGAATAAATCTATATTGGATTGAATTAGCAATTGTCAAAACCTATCAATGGTTCCGTATATTCATATTCACTGTGAGCACCCATGAAATGTGATTGGTTGATTGAAGCGTACAGAGGGCAGGAAGACTGAAACAGGGTGAGTAGTGCAACATGCAAGATTATTTAAATTACAAGTATTTTGTTCAGTGTCTCCCTCAAATACAACTTATGTTTAAAAGTTTGTTCAATCTGCTGTGAACATACGATACGAAACAATATGATACGATACGATGTTAGCAATGTTAAACGATA